TATTGATTCTACTGTCACTGTCACTGAGACTTTAAATGCGTGGCCAAACTGACATTACAGAAACATACGTTTCATTTTCAAACTTGCTAGTAATGGGGCTGTAGGCCATAAAGTCCATCCATCCATCCATGACCACCAAGTAGAAGTACACCATCTGCCTGACGTCAGTCACAGAAAAACAAGTTAATGAACAGAAAAAGTGGCAAAATGAAAAAAGTTTAAATCTAAGTTTTATATTCAAGAAACATGTCAAAAATAAATAATGAAACACTGACAGTGCAGTACGTAAAGCTTTCACCTTTAATGCCGCGCCAGCTCATGGACAACAAGAAAAAGAGAAAGAAGTAAATGTTACTGCGATGTTTCTTTTTCTGTTCAGCCTCGGTTCCATGTCCTCTTGTACTCTGTCATTTTTCAGAGAGCAGCTTTGTTGTGTCCTAAACCAGCTGAGAAAATTGATGAAACCTGAGTGTTCCTAAAAATACTTTTTTTTCCACAGCACAAAACCTCCCATTAGTGCTCCAGCTGTCACGTCTGGCCACCTTTGAAAGGAAAAAAACAACAAAAAAACTCATCTTGTTAGCAAGTCGACTGTCTGGAGACCGGGTCATCACGTCAACACCGTGTGAAGATATTCAGGAAATTTGGTTTACCCGCTTGAGCCACTGTAATCACAGACGCCCACAGTGGGTGGAATCACTGCTGTGTATTATCCGCACCCGAAGCCAATGATCTAAAAGGACGTTTTATATAATTTTCAGTCTGATAAAAGCACTTCGCTGCCTGGAGCCCATTATACAGTCATAAGAAAATACGTACACCCCATATGACAGCTTGTAGACACACCTTTAGCAAGTAATTGTCATGACTTTCAGTCTCTCACATTTTTATTTCATTGCTTAAGTTTTCTGAGGTTTGCAGACTTACACATTTAGGCTCAGGGTTCCTCCAAATCATTAACTCAATTTGTGTTAAATCTGAGTCCAGATAAGCAGCAAACGGCTCCAATAGCAATAAACTACTGTAGAAGAAAACTGTGAAATACCAGACTATATAAGAAAGACCCACAATCACGTATTAAAGGGTGAAAATAAAGCAGAAGACGCAGCAGAAACATGACATGTCTGTTATTTTCAAGGTTAAAGTTTCCTCATCACAGTATTCTCAAACTCTTTGATGCATTTTCCTCTGATGCAAAGCGAGTATTCACATTGAGATGGAAATGTGATGTTTTGATTAAGGCCATCTGCAGAGCCATTTTTTAAAAAACGTGCTGCTTCGTCTTGACAACTCGCTGAAACTAATCTACATCCTACTGTGCAAACACTCTAATCTCTCTCTGCTGCAGCAGTAACTTCATGACAAAAACAAACTAACTTACTGTTTCACAGTGACTTTACAGCAAAAGTATGAATACAGGAGCGAAGTCCTCAAATACCAGTTCACAGGATGAAGGCGAGTATAACCAACAGCTGGAATAACAGTAGTGTTTTTAGAACTCAACATGTGAGGCTCCCAAAATGTCTCTCCTTTAACACATAAGTGGAACGAAACAGCTCCAGCTGCCTTTAAATGGATCGATAAGCTTGTCATCAAGAGAATAACAGTTGATGGGTTTTTGTGACGCAGTAGTTAAACTGCACTGGGATTTGGCTGGTGTCACATCATCTCACTGAACAGATTTTGTGTGTAATCATGCCATGGTAAACCTTGGTGTTTGGTGATAATAGGGTTACCACATTTGCACAGATGTCATCACCATTATCAGCTTAAAGATAACTTTATGTTTCTCATGTTTATCTAATACTTATTGAATGGTTATTGCTCAGACTTCCAAAAATTGTATCTGGTCTTTAAGTCTGACATCATTGACTTCAGGTCCCAAAGTCAAACGAACACTGCAACATCACTGAGAGTTACAAACTGTCTAAATTCTTTCATCTGTAATGAAATGATCAGAGTGGCTGCGCTACCAGGTGTAACAATTAAGTTTAACATCCAGGCATCTATGAAAACAGAGTTTATTAAGTTTGGCGGAGTTCAAAGTTAGGAGTTAGCTCGCTGGTTTCCATCTAAAGATGATATACCACGTTCTGACTGAGGGATTTCTGAAAAATTAAAACGTACAGCTCTGCTATCACTTCTGACATAAATGAAGACAGAAAACTAAACAGCAGTGATGTTTGTAGGGTTACTGAAGTTGGGCTAGCTGGTACATAATTGTGATGTTTACAGAAATTTTGAGATATCCTCATGAGCAAGGATGCCCAGCCAAAGACCAAATCTGTAATTCTTGTGGCAAATTCAATCATTTTGCAAAGCAATGTCGCTCAAAGAAAAAAGAGACACATTGTGGAAAGAAGTATAAGAAAAATCTGCCACCGCAAACTGTTCATCAGGTAACAGATAACGCTGCACATGTGGAGACAGGGCACACATCCAGCAGTGATGACGCTTATGTATATGTGGTGGACACAGCTCAACATCCTAAACTCCCACATACTGAAGTCAGAGTAATGGGCACCCAGATACCGGTGCTAATCGATTCTGGGGCCACTGCTAACTACTTAACTGAAGCTACCTACAACAAACTGACACCACGTCCTACGTTAACTTCTACAGACTAGAGATGGCACGATACCACTTTTTCATGTCTGATACCGATACCGATATCATAAATTTGGATATCTGCCGATACCGATATGAATCCGATATAGTGTTTTTTAATCAATAAAACTGATTTTTGTTTAATATCTTGCTGCTTTTTGTATAAGTTCATACTCAAGTTAAAAAAAAAACCCACTAAATCTATTCTGTTATACCTGCATGCAACAAAATGCACTGCACCCAAAATATTTCATAGTTCAGCAATCCTGATCAATCTAATAAACTTAAGCCTACTCCATCCTTCCTATTCTGGTATTTTAAAGAGTAAGCAACCTAACTAATAAGGCTCTAAAACTCCCAGCAAAAAAAAAATAAAAAAATAGGGAACCACCCTCCACCTCATGATGCTTAATCGACGTAATCAACTTTAATTTGATGCAGTGTGAAAAAAAAAATGCACAGAAATAAATTATTTCTCAAGAATAATTAAATAGATTCAACATCTCCCTTCAACAGAATTGCAGAATTCACAGATGGTACCTTCCCAAAGGAAAAAGTAGTATAGCTTACTAGGGTATATTAGACTTAATAGTTACTATATACAGTAATGGACTTCTACACATTTTACATTAGATTAAAACGTTGGGTGTAAGATTTGGATAATTATTTATTAAAAGCTACACATTTTAAATGAGAATAAGAAAGAAAAGTATGTCTTTGTGCCCCCTTTTCCCTGTTAATGCCCTATCGGCCCCCCTGGCTAAACTTTGCTAGATCCGCCCCTGCACAGTTACCAGCCGTCAGCTGCGTAGAAAAAGATCCTGGTGTAGAAAGTAATAATAAATAAATTCTAACAACAGCTTATCAAGCTTAAACGTGCTGCTGTTGTTCAGCCGCTGGTTTCCTCTTTCTGGCGCGAAGTGGGCGATAAACAAGCAAGAGAGACGGACTCGCAACAGAAAAACCGATCAGCTGATCATTGATCAGTTTCATGATTGAAGTATACTTCAATCTCCTAAGAGATTGAAGTATATTGAAGTATTGAAGTATTCACTCTCTCTAGTATTGAAGTATTGAAGTATATTGAAGTATTGAAGTATTCACTCTCTCTCTCTCCTGCTGCTATAGCAGCAGGAGAGAGAGAGAGAGAGAAGAGGCAGTCGCTCCATATATCGGTTGTAAAGCTTAACACGTGAATGCTTTACAAACATTAAGAGATGAACTTACACATTTTCTTTACTTCTCTCTGGGATAACTTCCTCGGAGATGAAATGCCGGATTGGTAGCGAGGCTAGAAATACACACAGCGGCTCTATCACGTGAGGCATACTGCTGCCACGTGCTACGGTTATGATCCGAGTTACGCCATGTCGCAAGTTCTGTGAGGTGCTTTTTTGATATTTAATGGATCGGATTACTTTTTTTTTTCTCTCCGATATCCGATCCAGTAATTTACGTCAGTATCGGACCGATACCGATTCGTAATATCGAATCGATCCATGTCTACTACAGACATCAATATTTACCCATACCACTCATCTACATCTCTCCCTGTGTGTGGTGCATTCAGGTGCAGGGTGGAAAAACAAGACAAAACAGTTAGGTGTTCCTTCTTTGTCATTAAAGGAGGAGGTTTCAATATTTTGAGCTTTGAAACCTTACTCTGAATCGAGAGAAGTGTGAATTTAATAAAACAAAACTTGAGTTTTTTGGTTTCATCTTCTCTGCAGCTGGCATTTCAGCAGATCCTAAAAAGGTTGCAGCAGTTCAACACGCTCCCAACCCAAAAAAACCCCTGCTGACATCAAAAGTCTCCTTGGCATGGCCAATTACTGCTCGAGGTTCATCAGGGACTTCTCATCGATCTCTGAGCCACTGCGCAGGCTCACACACAAGGCCACCCCTTGGACATGGGGTCAAAACCAAGAAACTGCATTGCAGGCACTCAAGGTCAGTCTCACAAGCGACACGACGATGTCCTACTTCTATCCCAGCAGAATGAAAGTGCTCGTGCATGTAAGGTTGCAGGAGAGTATGTCAATTTCTTCTCTTATCACTCCACCCCAAAAGCCATGACACTTCACGAGATAAAAACAGAGACTCTGAAAGACCAGGTTCTGCAGGAAGTCATCGGTCACATCAGGAACAACACGTGGCATCTAACAGATAAATCCCAGCATGCTGACATTTTGAAATGATTCAAACATGTTCAAAGTGAACTAACAGTAGCTGACTCATCTGACTTCATACTCAGAGGCATGAGGATAGTTATTCCAACTGTCCTACAAGAAAGAGCAATACAACTGGCACATGAAGGGCACCAGGGTATCGTCAAGACCAAAGCGCTACTACGTACCTGTGGTGGGGCGTGGTCTGCGGGGCCGTGCGGACGCACCTGCACGGCATCCGCAATCACGCCCGCCGTGTTAAAACACGGGGACTCAGGGGTTGGTGGTGGTGTGGTGTGACGTGAATCAAATAAAGTTGGCTCTGAACGTCGCTCCGTGGTCCCGCCGTGCCTTATTCATGCCACATTGGTGCCGAAACCCGGGAGGCGGCATGGCGGGTACCTACCAGAGCCAGGAAAGGAAAGAGCTGGCCGAGAGGGTGGCCGAAATAGCGGCCACCCAGCGGAAGCAGGCGGCGGAGGTGCGTCGCCAACAGGAAGAGCTGCGGAAGGAGAGCGAACGCCACCTGGGGAAGATGGCAGAGCTGGCAGCGCTGCTCTGGGCCTGGGCGCCACCCCCACAAGTGTGTCCCGAGGACAGTGAAGCGGTGGAGGAGCCGTGTGGGTCACCTCGGCAGCCGGAGGTGGTGGACGAGCCACGCGGGGGTCCGAGCCTGCCGGAGGAGGAGGAGCAGCCGGGTGAAGGGCTGCTCCTGCCGGGAGCGGTGGAGGAGCCGCTCCAATCGGAGGCCGAGGACGAGGCGGGCGAGGGTCTACACCTGCCGGAGGCAGAGGAGTCGCTCCACCCAGAGGTGGGCGAGGGGCTGTGCCTGCTGGGGGCGGAGGCGCAGTGCGGGGAGCCGCTCCAAACGGGAGTGGCGGAGGCGGTGGCGGAGGCGGTGGCGGAGCAGCTGTGCGGGGAGACGGAGGTCCCTGCTCCAGGGCAGCCTGTGCAGCCGGAGTTGGAGGCAGAGGAGCGGGACAGCCCCGCTAGGCCGGGGATCGGCGGGCTGGCTAGTCCAGCCTTGCTGCCACCAGTCGATTCTGCGCGCCTGACGTCTGCCCAGCCGCCTGTGTGCAGGAGCTCACGGCCATGCCTGTGGGCCGTGTCCGCTTGCTACGCGGCCGACCTCCGGACCAGCTTCGCCGTTGCCGCTGGATGCGCGGGCGGCCACCAGAACGGACGCTTCCCCGTCGCTTGGTCAGGGGCTGGGGCGCCGATGTTTAGGGCCGAGTCTCGCCCCAGTTCGCGGGGGGGGAGTAGGTTCGGCCAGATTGCTCCCCGGCCTCAATCGGGCGATGGGGGTATGTGGTGGGGCGTGGTCTGCGGGGCCGTGCGGACGCACCTGCACGGCATCCGCAATCACGCCCGCCGTGTTAAAACACGGGGACTCAGGGGTTGGTGGTGGTGTGGTGTGACGTGAATCAAATAAAGTTGGCTCTGAACGTCGCTCCGTGGTCCCGCCGTGCCTTATTCATGCCACAGTACCAAAGTATGGTTCCCAGAGATCGATCAGAAAGCAGAATCTGCAGTTCAAAAGTGTCTGCCATGCCAAGCTAGCACACCTGTCACACACACTGACCCTCTGCAGATGTCACCATTACCCGAAACACCCTGGCACAGTGTCAGTGTAGATTTTTATGGACCACTCCCTACGGGGGAATACCTGCTCATTAACACAGACGAGTATTCTCGCTATCCAGTCGTTGAAAGTGTACGCTCAACATCAGCATCTTCTGTTATCCCAGTCATTGACAAAGTGTTCTCCATGTTTGGAATCCCAAGGACAGTAAAAACTGACAATGGTCCTCCTTTTAACAGTGAGGCTTTCTCAGTTTGCAGGCTACCTAGGATTTCATCATCGCAAAATCACACCTTGTTGGCCTCAGGCGAATGCCATTGCTGAGAGATTTATGAGAACCCTAGGCAAAGCACTGAGAGTTGCCGAGACACAGGGCACACCATGGAAACAGCACCTAAACATCTTTCTTCGTGAGTACAGATCTACACTTCATAGCGCAACAGCGAGCTCACCAGCTGAAATACTGTTTCAACGCCAGCTATACACTAAGCTCCCTTTCATTAACACCACTCCGCGGAAGTGTTCAGATGCTAAAGTGAGAGCAAAGGATGATAGTGCAAAGATCAAGATGAAGGAGATCGCAGATGCAACCCGTCGCGCCAGACCACACTCACTAAGACTGGGTGACACAGTGCTGCATCGCCAACCCAAGAACAACAAATTATCCACACCTTACAATGCAAAACCCTACAAAGTGACCAAGGTTAAGGGCTCTGAAGTTACAGCTACAAGGGATGGACACTCAATTATCAGGAATGCCTCATTCTTCAAGAAAATCCGACATGGACTTGAAGATGCCCCACCTGGACGGCATGTCGACCCCGCCTTAACAGACAAGCCCAGATACCCAGTCAGATCAAACAGATGCGTACCTATGCATCTGTCTGATTACATCAGATCTAAGACTTGAATATCTGAGTGACCAGTTAAAGGTTACACTGCGTGTAACATGTTTGTTGTTCCTGAATCTAACACTGTAACCAGGATTCTAGTGATAGTGTTTAGTCAGAGATCTGCACAGATGCAGTGCTGTTTAATTGATGTTTAGGTGTGGAGAAACTCAAGTAATAAGAACGTTCAGTAATTTTATTAGGTGTCGTTGTCATAGGTTCAGATTAATAATTCACCTCGCTGAGTACCCAAGTTTGTTAAAAAAAAAAAAAGGTGATTGTGATGTTTACAGAAATTTTATTTTGAAAGGTCGAATGTAAGGCGGAAGGATGATATAAAAGAGGAGACAACAAAAAAACGGTAGATGAACAAGTTAGCGCTACAGACTGTGTTGCCGCTGCAAGCCTGAGAATTAAAGAATGGAACTGAGAAATACTGAAGGTGTCATCATTAATGTTTGAGGCATGCAAACATTACAATAATGATGTGCTATGTGGTGGCTAGCTACACAGCAATGGTTAGCATAATGCGATGGAGGATGAACACCTGCTTTTTTCCACTCCATAAAAGTTAACGTGAGGATTCCCGATGGTTACGGACAAATGCAATTGCATGGCAGGATAAACGGACCAAATTTCAGTCAGGAGAACAACTGAGATAATTCATCCACAATATGAGGTTAGTCATTAAAATACTGCTGCATGGACTGGGCTGTAGTTACACCGTAAGGTTTTAAAAACTGAGCTTTAAAACATTACACTGATAAATAGTGGTAATAAAAACCAAGAGAGGCCGACAGTGGTCACTGACTTTTTTAGGGGCTTGTTCAGATTAAATAGAACAAGATTAAAAGCATTAAAACATGTTAAAAACACAACAGCCTTAATAAAAGTAGAGTAGGAAGCAGGGTTCATCAAGTCATCACTTCACAACCAGATAAGCTCCACAGTACAGGACAATAGTCAAAAACTACACTTCTGTTAAAGCCACTAGCTTGATGTTCCAGGTTTCAGCCTGTCTTTACCAACTCACCATGCGCCAACATGAAGGATAACTGCTGTGAGGAGACATATTTTAACCCACACAGTCTGAACCTGGTAGTTGAAACTAAACCTGTAGGTGAAAGGAGCAGAAAAAAATGTGTGATAAGTTTGGGCTAAAGACAAAGTTGAAACACTACACAAGTGCAGTGTGAGTCTGGCTTAATCCTACAAACTCTCCTGGACTTCGAAAGCTTCCCCCCTCCTCCGTTCCCTTACAGCTGCCACCTCATTCTTTGTGTAAAACAAAGGCTGTTAAAACTTTTGTCCTTGTTGGTTCTGTGTTTGGGTCTGTTTAGAACTACCGCCCGAGTCAGCCCTGACAGACGCTAGCTCGTAGTGAAGAAACTCACCTGACAAATGGACACACACACTGGTGTTTCCTGCAGTTTGGTACTGATCAATTGGATACAAACTGTGTCTTTGTGCTTGATGTTAGCACTGAGCTTTTCATGTGCTAACATCAAGCAACCATTTGGTTAAAAACATAAAAATCCATAATGTTTTCAATGCAACGAGCTACAGCTCTTTCATACACACACACAAAGCTGGAAACCTGTGACTGTACTTTATTAGGGTTACATTACAACGTGCATCAATGCGATGGCAGCACATTCAGAAAGGTAACATCTGCAAAGCATCAAAACACAAAAATACAGAAAGCTGAAACAGGAAAACACAAATTTAACATTATTAAACTAGAACTCTGATAATTAAACATCTTTACACAGAAAATTTCACACAGTTCATTTGTTTTAAATGACAGCTGAGCACATAACTGTCTTCTTTCCATTTCAGGCACAATACAGAAAGCATTCATCATTCAGGTCTCATGAGTGATGTGCCACCATTTCTTTTTGCTTTAATTTTCTTTTAGTCACATAAATCTCACATTGACACGTTTACATAGGTCACCTTCTCTTTTTGAACTACTCTTCTATTTTTTCTTGGAAGGAGAACAGAACCTGTGATCCTTTGAACCCAACTAATTAAAGTCTTTAATATTATAATTGTGTGCTCGTCCCCTTAGACCAACATGAACCGTGTCCTTATCTCCCCTCGCACCACTTTGACACAAACGGCAATATAAAGCAAATTTTACCGACAACCACTGGTTACTAATTCTTCCTATGTGGCTCTGATTGGACGAGCAGGTTAACAGGCCCGGCGGTCCTGTTTTTTGTCTTATTTGTTCAAGGAATTTTGGCCCCAGTTTCATTCCACAAAGGCTTCCCCGTATATATTAGAGACAGCCCCCACAGGGCCTAATTGATTTAAAATCCCCTCTCATTTTCCAACACTGAAAATTAATGATGAGTAATAATAATACCCTCCATACCGGATAAATTTGATCGACTGGTTAAATTGCAGTGTGTAATACTGCTGTAGTTACTGTCTGTACATATTGTTAACACAGTACAGTCTCATGTTAAAAACTAAATTTCAACTAGTTTTATTCCTGGAACCAGTCAGAACAGATGAAACTTTGTGGTTTTAGTCTTGTTGTATTTTCAGGGATTCTTTGCTTCAGTTTTTATTAGTTATGTCTGTTCCGCCACCACACAAGCAGGGGGCCGGTTACTGAGCACCAGTCAGGAAAAAACATTTATTCCCAAGCTGTTGCTGGCACTCGCTGTGAAATTAATGGCTAAGTTCTCAGTGTCAAAACTACACTGGTTTTAGTTTTTCCCTCACTGGTTGCCGAGCAGTTGCTGGAGGATGCTCGGTGCTGCTGCTGTTGCACTATGAACCTCTTTGCAGTTGCTTTGCTTGCAAACAGAGTGCTAGTGTCACCCATGGTTTGGATGGAAGATTCTGACTGGTTGGCATCTTTCATGCAAACTACAGGAAACTGCAGCAATCTACTACTGACCACAGTAAACACAGGGTAGAAGGAGATGACGATGATTTGGTTAAAAAAGAGGAACATTTTTCTTGACACTAACATGCATGTCTTTGGACTGTGGGAAGAACCCACAGAGACCCACAGAGGGGTGAACATGAAACCTCCACACAGCAAGAACCCAACCAGCTGGTGCATTCAAACCTAGCACCTTCTACTATATTTTATTTTGATTTATACAACAGTTCAGTGAAAAGAGAAAGGTCCACGATCGTACTTTCTTTGATTGTGAAATGTAAATTAAATTTTTTACAGCGTGGTCAGAATTTGTCTAGAACAGCAAGTCACTGTAATCTCTAACAAACACTCGGGAGGAAACATTCATTTTGTTGGCCTTTTGAGAGGCGGTGACTTCATTATTTTGCTGCTCCTGTGAGCATTTGTAGCAGCAGGATCGGTCACTGTGAAAACACTGCAGTGAAAGCTAATATTCAAGGTACTGCTAGTAATTAAGAACGTGTCAGTGGGAGCAACAGAGACTCACTGGTGTGTTTTTAAAAGACAATAATGGAGCTGTTTGGCACAGAGGGGTGAAGATAAGGCTTTGGAAACAAAGAAAACCGCCCCCATCTCTGAAATTTGAACGGTATCTGCAGCTTTATGAAACTGGTCTAATAATGGGCGTGTTTCTCTCTGTCTAATTGCTCAACTTGATTACATATAATCATCTTCTTTCCCCACTCATCAATGTCTTTACTCTGCAGCTGGGAACCCAACTGGCCACACTCAACCACCTTTCGGCTAGACATTTTTTTCAGCTCACAAAGAAGCTTCAATGATGTATATCTATATGCATATTACTCAGAAATATATAACCCATAAAATAACAGCATGTCATCATCAGGCTAAAGTCATTCTTTACTTCGTCATGTTTGCTCTTCAAGGATTCTAATTCCACGTGTAAATAAATAGATAGAATAATGATCATAAATAAATAAAAAATAATAAAATCACTTTCTATAAATTTATAAGATGAAGATATCACACACATCGTAGTTTAAAAACATTTTAAGTCATGCAACTTATAATAAAAAATGTATTATTGTGGGGTCTACCT